GTCGGTATTCTTGCGCGATCCTCGTGTGTACTATATTTACCGGTGCAGAAGTTTGAAGTCGGTGAGATGTATTATGTCGGTCGGCCTGCAAATTTTTTTCCCCTACGAACTGTGACTTTTTATCGGACAAAGAATGTTTTTTGGGGTCCCAAAATTTGATCGATCAATATTTCGTTTCAGTGGGGGGTGGGGGTAAGGTTAGGTTTTTTGGTCACCCATTATCATTTTTTATTTTTTTAATATATTTTTTTTAATTAAAAAAAAAAAAAAAAAAAAATCGCAAGGGGGGGGGGGGGGGTTACTCTAAAACCCCTGCGTACGCGCCTGGGTACTACGAATCGTCTTGTTTCTCTTATAATTTAATGAAACGTCATAGCTTCGGCGCTTCGCGTGGGAGGGGCGAAACAAGAAAAGAGTCGGGAACGGTATCGTCTTCTTTCTCTAACTATCTAATGAAGTGTCAAAGGAGGAGGGCAACTGAAAATAACTTAGTTCCTGGCCCCGGCCTATAGGGTTATATTTGTAGACATTGGGACATTGGCAGAAAAATATTTGTCGATAATTGGTGGCTAGTTTTGTTGGTAATCGGTGGCCTCTATACATGCATGCCCCTGATGACAACACAGTTTATACACTCGAGATAATTTTTGCAAGTACTACTGGTGAAGTACCGGACCACCGTCTTTGTGCAGCAACGAAGCATATACAACGTATCGCGACGTGACAGATCACTTTTCTCTAACTTCTAACCAATCAGAAGGTCTTGTTTTTTTCCAGGAAGTGCCGGTGGACATTAATGCGCTAAATTAATGTGGTTACTTGGTACTTGGTACTTGGTACTTGGTTGTTGTTCCTCCAAAAGATTCCTGGTGGAATTTAAACTGGAGGTCGTGGTGGCAGAGAGTGGACTTATTTCGGAAGGAGTGCTACTTTAAACTTTGCTGAGTCAGTCAGGGATACTAAGGTCGGATTGAGATTATTCCATGCTTCGGTTGTGCGAGGAAAAAATGAGTTCTTGTATACATCCAATCTGGCTAATGGTATTTCAAACTGACTTGAGTGCCCGCGTCTGCTACGATCTGGTTTAGGTTTAATGTGGGTTCGGGGATCTATGTCCAGCTGGCCATGTAACATTTTGTGGAAACAGCTTAGACGGTGAGCTTCGCGTCTGTCTTGGAGGGAGTTCCACTTAAGAGAATTTAGAAGGTGGGTGACGCTTGCTTCTCTCTGATAAGTGCTTGTGACAAAACGGGCTGCCTGCCTCTGGACTCGTTCGATAGAAGAAATGTTCTTAGCTGTGTATGGGTCCCAAGCAGCAACTGCATAATCTAAGTGTGGCCTAACGAGGGTGAGATAGAGTTTCTCCTTAATGGAAGTTGAGCAGTGATGAAAGTTGCGTCTCAGAAAACTCAAAACCCCAATAGCTTTTGTTGTTGCGAGGTGAGTTTGGCCATTCCATCGGAGGTCGTTCTGGATCACAACACCAAGGTACTTTGTCTGCTTACAGACAAAGTTGTAAAAGATTGTAAAAGATCCCTACTCTTGGAGGGGGTATATAGAACTTAAGCAGTTTTACGTCATATTACTCCAGGAAGTGCCTGAAGACAGGGGCGTCGCTAGACCTTTTTCAGTGGGGGGGGGGGGGGGGGGGGGTGTGTAGAGGCCAATGATTACCGACAAAACTTGCCACCAATTACCGACAAAATTAAATGTCCCAATATCTACAAATTTAACCCTATAAACCCGGGACCGAAGGCTAAATTGTTTTTCCTATGGACTATCTATAGTAATTGCGTATGCGCAAATGATCATTTTCCTCGACGACATAAATATACGAATTATTTCGTCAACTTAGTCAACATCAAAGCTATATATTTGAATGCAGGTGCGGAGCTAGGATCTTATTTTAGGGAGGGGCGGTAGTGAGCAAGCGAATCACATAAAGAGCGCGCGAAGCGCGCTAATTAGGGGGGTGTGGTGATGGGTGATAGGCCTCCCGCACGAAGCGTGGAAGCTTAGACGTTTCCTTAAATTATTAGGAAAAGAAGACGATTTATTGTACCGATCTCGACTGTTAATCCTTGTCTGAATGAAGTTCCTCCCCCCTCCTCCCGCGCGAAATGCGAAAGCTTTGACGTTTCATTAAATTATTATAAAATGTAGACGATTTGCTGTACCGTTCTCGATGTTAATCCTTGTCTGAATTCAGTTTCTCCCCCTCCCGAGCAAAGCGCGGAAGATTTGACGTTTCATTATTATGAGAAAAAGCAGACGATTCGGTGTTCTGTTCTCGACCCTTAATCCTTATCTGAGTTCAGTGCTGCCCCTCCCGCGCAAAGCGCGGAAGTTATGGCGTTTCATTAAAATATTAGAGAAAGTAGACGATTCGTTGAACAGTGCTCGACTCTTAATCCATGTCTGAATTCAGTTTCTCCTCCTTCCGCGCGAAGCGTGGAAGCAAGTTGACGTATCATTAAATTATGAGAAAAAGCAGACGATTCGGTGTTGGCGTACTGTTCTCGACGCTTTATCCGTATCTGAATTTAGTTTTCCCCCCTCCCGCGCGAAGTTTTTACGTTTCGTAAAATTATTAGAGAAAGTAGACGATTCGTTGAACCGTGCTCGAGCCTTAATCCTTGTCTGAATGAAATTTCCCCCTTTAGCGCGAAGCGCGGAAGCTTTGACGTTTCCTTAAATTATTAGAGAAAGCAGACGATTCGTTGTACCGTTTTCGACTCTTAATCCTTGTCTGAATTCAGTTTCCCCCTTCCAGCGCGAAAACTTAGACGTTTGATTTAATTATTATAGAAAGAAGACGATTCGTTGCACCGTTTTCGACTCTTATTAAGTCCAAATTTTATCTGAATTCAGTTCCCCCCTCTTGCGCGATGCGCGGAAGCTTTGACGTTTCCTTAAATTATGAGAGAAAGAAGACGATTCGTTGAACCGTTCTCGACTCGTCTAAATGAAGCTTCCTCTCCCGCTCGAAGCGCTGAAATTTTTGCGTTTCATCAAAATATAGAGAAAGGAAAACGATTCGTTGTACTGTTCTCGACTCTGAACCAAGGGTGTCGATTTGTAGCCTCGGTTGGGGGGGGGGGGGGGGGGGGGGGGATGATAGGTGCCAAAATATTTTCGGCAATGGATCAAAGCAACCAAGAGGTAGAGGCGTGTGGCAGGTTGCACCCCCTCCTTTCCAAGTTTTTAACTTTTTTAAGTCACCCTCAATAAAGATAACATTTTAGAGAATATGGGACCCATGTGTGTCCCACATGCTTGCTACCTAGATTATTATCCTCTCAAGCATATAGGCAGGATTTTATTTTAGGGGGCGGTAGTGAGCACCTCCTAGGGGTTAGTGCAGGGAGTTTTCCCCCTCCCGCGCGAAGCGCGGAAGCTCTGACGTTTTATTAAATTATTAAAGAAAGAAGACGATTCGTTGTACCCTTCTCGACTCTTAATCCTTGTCTAAATTCAGTTTCCCTCTTCTCGCGCGAAGCGCGGAAGCTTTGACACTTCAGTAAATTATGAGAGAAAGAAGACGATTCGTTGTACCATTCACGACTCTTATACCTTGCCGAATTCAGTTCCCCTCTTCTCGCGCGAAGGGCGGAAGCTTTGACGTTTCATTAAATTATTAGAGAAAGAAGACGATTCATTGTACCATTCTCGACTCTTAATCCTTGCTGAATTCAGTTCCTCCCTCCCCCCTTCCCGCGCGAAGCGCGGAAGCTTTGACGTTTGATTAAATTATTCGAGAAATGAAGACGATTCGTTGTACCGTTGCACTTTTGCGCTTCGCGTTTAACATTTACTAAGCTCGTTGCTTTTTAACGCTGTGGCTTTGCATTTGGCGCACTGCATTTATATAATGCTGTTGATTGAATAAATTGAATAAATTCATCAATTCCTGATGAAGCCGTATGAGCGAGAATTCAATTTATTCTTTTCTCATAATTATACGGTCGTCTCATTTACTTCGTATCCTATTTATATATGTATGTATTATGAAAATGAGATAGCAAAATGTGTATATTGATGGTCATCTTGCGAGTAATAACCATTAACTACTCTCATCGGGCTCTCATCATTAATTTTTCTCTTTTTCTTGTTTTGATGGTGAATTATTTGGGGGGGGGGGGGATGATTGTACAGGCCATCCCCCCCACCTAAAATATTGGGGGGGGGGGGGAGATATATCCCCCATCCCCCCGGGGTCGACACCCATGCTCTGAATCCTTATCTGAATTCAGTTTCCCCCCTCCCTCTGCGCGAATTATGAGAGAAAGAAAACGATTCGTTGTACCGTTCTCGAGTCGTCTAAATGAAGTTTTCCCCGAGGGGGGGGGGGGGGGGGGGGGGGGGTCAGCACCATAGCTACCATATATAAAACATTTTAAAATATTTTGTTCAGTTACATTATTATTTTCTTTTCAAGGTCAGGGGTCAGGGCCCGACGCCCCCCCCCCCCACAGTGGATCCGCGCCTGATTGGGGGTTCCCACTCTTTTTAGGTGAGGCGAATTAATTCCCTCTCTTAATCTTTTTGAAATCCGTTTCCATTTTGATGGGGGATCTTGTTAAAATTAAATACACCAGAACTTAGACCAATGATTCTACAGCGGATAGCCCGAAATTCTGACATGCTCCTTTTATTTCTAATCCACTATGAGATTAATTTCGTCTCGTCTCTGTTTTACCGAATAAAATCGTGATATACATTTATAAAAATAATGATCGAACGTTTTGAACGTAAAATAAATATATATTAATTTCGTTTGTATAGACACCATTGCAACTATACAGCTCCTCCGATCCAGCGCGACCGTACCGTTGACCAGCACCACCTGCACTAGACCGAAAGCTTCAGTCTCTCTAATCGTCGGTTGTTCCACTGAGACTACGTCTGGCTCCACTAGACCTCCGATTGGGGAATGACAACAAATGTCAGTTTTATTAAAGAAATGACCCAAATCAGATGGTTATTGCTGTCTACACCTGCACCACCCACCAGCCAGCGGATGAGGGGCCGCGGCCGCGCCGTACCCGTAGACTCCACGATTCGACTCTTTCGACCTGCCGCGCCGATGCGTCCGGAATGATGAAGATTATGGAGTAATTTTCTCACAGAAACTTACAACTTTGTCAGTCAAAATGGGGATTTTTCTTCGTATGATTGGTGCAGGTAAATCTTAACATTGCATAATGAGATTGAGACATGACCGATGACTGAATGAGTGTGGGTGTTAATATTACACCAGCGAGTCTTTCGCCAGGGTACATAATAATCTCGTGCATGCATGCATAATGCATTGCCGTGGTTTACTATTAATAATAATACAATGAATATGACTCTGAACAGAGTGAGTGATGAGTGGAATGGTATAGTATTTGAGAGAAATAGTTGTTTTTATACGCTCAAGGGAAGGTTACAATTGTGCTATTGCCCTGAGGCGTGCCGAGGGCAATGGCCCAATTGTAACCTTCCTGAGACGAGCGTATAAAAACAACTACAGTTGTATTTCTTGAATATTAAAGCAGTCATTAATACTTTTATATGCCGAAAACAAAAGAGTCAACTAATGACACCACCTTGGCCTTTCTCTAGTTTATCTGCACGGTTGTTTTTTATGAGTGTATCTTTGAGAGTAGACTAGATCTAGATTCTAGTCTAAGCAAGATATTTTTACAATTTTGGGGGTGGGCTGGCCCTGTGGGGAATAGAGAGAAGAACCTGCGCTTTCATATGACACCTCACTTATTGAGTATCACCTTCAGGATCACAACAGATCACAACAAAGGTTTGACTCGAATTGAAAAAAAAAAACTTAACTTTTTTTGCATGGTCGCGCAAGACTGCATAGAGACTGCATTGCGTGTAATCTCTATGGGAAGAATATAGCACACAACATCGGGTGCCGGGTGCGCGATCAGACACCCTGACAACTAGATCTAGAATCTATTTTCGTCTACGTCTATGCTGGTACTCCATTTTCAGCAACTAAACGAATATGTTTATGGATAATTTCACGTACCTTTTTTGTTGTTCTTGCTGTCAGCGAGTCTTGCATTTGATAAGTTGAAATCTTGGGACAGTTTCTTTAGCCATTTTTGTCTTGTTTGGAATTGTCTTGTCTTGTATGAAAATACCGACCAATTCTTCGCACACGTACGGTATCCTTGATCGCTTAAAACATTTTTTAACATGTAAACCTGTGGGGTAACCATGGAGACTGAACTATTTTCCCGGTAACCATGGTTACTGGGATTTTAGAACTGTTTTAACCATGGTTACTGGGAATTTTACAGAAATAGTTAAAGTTTATGAATGCAATTTCGACCAATCAGATGGCTGGATTTCTTAAGTGAGGTATATAATCAACGCTAAATTACACTTTGGGTGGTAACTACTAGACCTAGATCTAGTTTTATAATTACATTAGCGTTTGCATGGTGTATATGATATGATGAGTGTTTCAGAAAAAGAAATGAGAAATACATGTAGAAGTCTATATCAAAATAATTTTAAGGAAGGATTAAGAAGAAGGAAAGGTAGAAGGATGTTGAGATGGAAGAAGAAGAAGAAGAAGAAGAAGAAGAAGAAGAAGAAGGAGGAGAAAGAGAGAGAGAGAGAGAGAGAGAGAGGAAAGGGGGGGGGGGGTGTTCCTTTTGGAGGATGGAGGAAGGATTAAAAAAGACCTCAAAGATTGTTGAAAATTCACATAGAATACACCCGAGTCAAGAGGACACTTTATTTGTTAGTATACAGTCAAACTAGGCAGAAATAACCGTCTGATGTGGGTCATTTCTTTAATAAAACTGACATTTGTTGAGAGGCGGTCAGAGGAGCCAGATGCAATCTCAGCGGAACAACCGTCGATATCAGAGACTGAAGCTTTCGATCTACAGTCAAACCTGCTTTAGTGACCACCTGTCTAGTACAAGCACATTTTTTGTTTCCCTTGAAAATGGTTTCTCATTGAAACATGTACTAAAGGAACCTGTCTACAAAGACCACCCGTCTACAACAAGCTCATTTATTGTTTCCCTTGGGCGGTCGTCGCTGTAGACAAGTTTAACTGTAGGCCTACATAATTAGTACTGCATTAGTTTGAATTTTTCTATCAATTTCGATCAATCATCCTTTAATAACAATTTAGAATTTAGTGCCTGACTCATGTGACTAGAGCCTCTTTTTTAGTATTTATTAGTCCTGACTTTCCTCAAAATATTGCTTTAATTATAAGACATCCGATTCCATTAAAATCAGATCAGAATATATATATACAAGAGTGAGCACTGCTTCAATGTTTTAGTAATGCCTCTGTATGATTTTCTCTCCTATTGTATTAGTTATTGGGGTTCCTGTAGTAGCAGGCTGTGCTGCTGGCCTTTACATCCGACGCGACTTCAAGAAACTTCACAAGTCCAAAAGCCACACATTTGAGTCGGCAGCCAAGCAGTATGCGACCAACCGCGTCTTTCAGCTGATTGGCCATCGTATGAGAGAGAAGCTCGATAAGGACACTCGGAACTGTCAGGAGGTGATGCTCTTTTTCCATTTCTCATATATATGTGTTTTTGTAGGAAAGTTAGTAGATCTACATAAAATGATATTATTTGTAAAGAGGGTTGGTGATTTAGCTTTATGAAACAAACATTTTGACTTGAATCTAATATGTATTTAGACCTGTTTCGGGTTTATCAAATATATGCACTACTTGAATGAAAGTTTCTCTTGAAACTGAAAAGCGTGCTAGAGGATTCCAGACATAGCAACAACTAATGTAATTGATTTGTAGAGTCAGGATTGCTAGAAATGGTAGAAGTTGCTCGAAGATGCAGGTGTTGGAAGGAAGGATATACTGTGATATAGACACTTAAAGCAGGCGCGAATCCAGGAATTTCTTGCCAGGGGGGCACACGGGGGGGGGGGGGGGGGGGGGGGGGGGGGGGGGGGGGGGGGGGAGGGGCACCGTGTGGGAAAGAGAAGTTGATGTACATCATTACATAGTTTTATAAATATGAATTTCTACTTTTGACTATATATTTCTCATACCTTTCCAGGTCCAAACAGAGATTCTAATGTCCCGACTGCAGTCAGCAAGTGAAACGCTGTATGGAAAGCAGTTCAACTTTGCTGATATCAAATCCCCTCAGGACTACTGCCAGAAGCACCCTCTGACCAGGGCCAATCACTACCACCCCTTTGTCCAAGAGATTGCTTCTGGCACGCATCATGTGCTCACCAAAGACGATCCCATCATTCTTGCTGTGACATCCGGGACATCTGGACACCACAACCTGGTTCCAATGATCAAGGCACAGTCTACGTATTTCTTGCTGAACGGCGTCACTGTCTGTCTCGATTCTATACGTAAGGCGATTCCGGAAACACAGCACCTTAGACGAACCCTCAAGATCTTCTACAACCCCAAGTCACGCACCTCCCCTGGAGGAGTTCCGATCGGACCCAATTCGGCCACGCCCAAATCCTCAAAGGATTTCATTGACATGTACAGCACGCCCATGGCTGCCTTCGATATAACAACAGAAAGGGAGGCATTGTATGCGCATCTGCTGTTTGCTCTTATAGATAGCGAGATTGGAGCCATCGAGGCAAATTTTGTGCCTCTCATACATAATGCTTTGTGGAGCTGGAGGAGAACTGGGAACAGTTGGTCCAGGATATTGCGAGAGGAGAAGTGAGCCCTCAACTGAACATTCCAGAAGATGTGCGACAGAAATTGAACGCCCTCTTGAGTCCCGATCCAGAAAGGGCAGAGGAGCTGAGGCAGGAGTTTGAGAGAGGTTTTGACAACATTGCCAAGAGAATATGGCCCAATGTTCAGGTCATCGTAGCCGTGGATTCAGGGGCCTTCCAGGTCTATGGCAATATGCTAAGAGAAAAGTACACAAAAGGTATTGCATGTTTGATGCTTATTGATATGAGCCAAAATGTTAGATTTTAGGTTGTGAATAATTGACAAAGACTTTAATTTGAAGGAAATTGGAATTTCATTGCAATTTTTACACTGTATCAACATGTTTTAAAAAGATGTAAGAAGTTGTTAAAAATTCAATACTGTTTCCCAATGTCGGTTAAGTGGTAATATTATTTTGTAGACTACATTGTAATAGGCCACTTTTCATTTTTCTATATTAGTTTGAAACTTAGAAAACCTTACACAGAGTCGTCATTTTTCAATTGGACAGACTCCAAGAATTCTTTTCATATAATGTTAAATATTTTACTCCTTTCTCAGATATTCCTATCTACTCCTGCCTATACGCTGCCAGTGAAGGCCTCATTGGAATCAATATCTGGCCTTTTGATGCGGAAAGGCGCTATCTGCTGGTCCCAAAGAGTATGTTTTGTGAATTCATACCAGTCGAGAAGAGGTAAATGGATAGCCTTACAATCCTATTGATTAGTTGTTTGCAAATTTCTTTAGATTTGGTTAATTAGTGCTGAATCTAATGTCTATTGTTTAATTCTGTTGTTTAATTCTATAAATCCAAGTACTATTTTCATTATTTTAAATTTCACATAGGTCTGATACATATTTAATGTTATAGTAGACTAATTAAATAGTAGTGGTATAATTATCATGATTCACATTCATGCCATTTTCAACAAAATCAAAATTCTGTTCAGTTGCTATTAGAGTTGAATTGCACTGCAAGGACTGACATTTTTCTTTGATTATCATATTAATATCACTGATAACTTTCTTTCATATCATACATGTATCTGTTTGTTTAGTATCCTTTCTCAGGTTACTCTCTTAACTTTTGAGGTATGACTGCACGCTGACCTAAAATGTCCTGGATTATGGATTTGGGCAGTTATTTGAGCAGGCATTTCTTTAACCTAAAATTGTCAAATTGCAGATTTGTGATTGTGATACATTTACCTATCAAACTACATTTTGCCATGACAGCGAGTTTTCTGTGGATTCATTACTTTGTGTTACATTTTCAGTGATGAAGAGCAACCT